AGAAAGCAAAGACATAAATAGAANTGCAACATGATGTTAAATTTACGGCAAGACGAACCACAACTCTTTCTGCACATTTTATGAGCCAACGAGGCATTGTTTTCTCGGAATGGAATGTGTGCAGGCTTGTATATTGACGTAATTTTTAATTTTTCTGTTAGGACAGTCGGATCGATAGTTTTCGTGGTTTGTTGCAAAACGTTTGCTTATGTAATATCAGAATAAACAATTCCCAAACTTGTACATCGGTTTCGAGTGCTGAAAAATTTATATATTTTATTAATAATTTGCTTAATTATCTTTAAAATTATGCCAAATAACGAAGTATTTTCTTATATAAATGCTCATTAATATGCATTAAAACCTGTTTTAATTATAGAAAACATTCGAAGAAGTATATGTAAATATGACTATATATATGTAGCCTGTAGAACAATATTTTCTGCTTAAATTCCATAGAATAATTTTTCAATTTTAAATAATTACTTTATTATTTTATTTTATTAAAAATTCTGTTTTATCCTTGTTTACATTCTACCTATTTATTTTTTAATATAACGAGAAAAATGAAGTATAAATTTATTTTTTCACTGAAGTTTCTTAGGTAGTATAAGCCTAACAAACAATAATAAAAAAACGTTCGAAAAAAATTGTTTATTATTTAAGAAAAAGCAAGAAATTTAATATTAGATGACAATTTTTCCTTAAATTTTATAACAGAATCTTCATTTTTCTTAAAGCTTCTTTTAATTTATTTGCTTTAATTGCTGATACACAATGCATCAAATGTCAGCACTGTTTAATTTATATGATATTTCTAAGTTATATTTTATTAAATATAATCGATTTATATGATATCGAGATATGTCGAACTCTACTCGACTCTAATCTAATCCTGATCTATCGTTTGATTTTTTTAAAAACGAATCTCGTTACTGCTGTAATTTGATCTTTAACAATCTTTCATTTATCATCGAAACTGTCTCCAGTCCGTGTTCCCCGTCAGTCGTTTCTTCGAAAATAACAATTTAAAAACGGTAAAATAATAAAAATAACAATTAAATATTATAGAAAGGAAGGAAAAAACAAAGAAAATTTAGAATATAACTTTGTAAAAACTTCTATTTTGGCCTGCTATTCGTCATCTTAAAGTGATAGAAATTGGATTAATCATCTGAACTTTTTTTCATCATTCGCTGAAAATATTGAATTTTTTAAAAATAATTTAATATGAATTAGTAAATATCAAAAGAATACGTTCGTAATTATATTTCTACAATTTTTGTTAATTATAAAAGGACTTTATTTTCTACTATTTTTTTATTATTATTATTCAGATTTCTTCGATATGTTAATGCACGTGTAATCTTTTATAATATATTCTTACAATTCACGAAATAACTTCTCAATCTAAACAATTGCTTCTGCTTGTTTTCCGAGAAACATTTATATTCTTCCATGTCTCGTATATAAAAGACTCTTTCATATATTTTTTTGCTTCTGCTGCTTCAAAACTTCTTTCGATTAGGTAAATAATAACGTACTGTTTCTTGAATATTTTATATTCTTAGAGACGAATTACATCTTTTTTTTTCGATGGTCCTAACTTAAATGAAACGCGTGCCTTTAATTTAATTATTATTTTGTAATAAATGATGTTTAAAGTAAGTATTTTTCTACATATAGTAATTGTAATTAAGATTTAAAAAAATAATAAAGCTACAGAATTTCTTTTAAAAATATTTGATAATCACGTTATATAAAATATGTATAGTAAAATCTGTCTAAAACGGAAAAAATTCTTCAGAATTAAGCGATTTTTATGTTAAATTTTACTTCAATTTAAGGCGCAAACTTGTCCAATGCGAGAACGGAAGAGGTTTTTTGATACGAAGAACGTATCTTAACCTGTATAAAGCGGAAAATTAGATTTTTAGCTCCTATAAAAATATGTAAAATCGTCTCCGCAGAGCGTAACAAATAGAATGGAGAAACGGATGTCATGTAACAAGAAAAAACAACGAATATAATTCGCTGAAAACATCAAGAATAAGATGATAATGCTACTTGCACGGTTTGGTACTAGTTGGTGAATAACTAGTACCGGGTATTCGAGAACAAGTTGATTAAGTTAACGATTAATTAGAGTATTAAAATTCCTCGAGAAGTCGGATCACAGAATAACTCTGTCTCTGTATTAATGTAATGCAATTAGAGTCTTCGGCAGGAGAACGAAACACTATTTTTTTGTAGTTGAATTGGCTTGTTTGCTGTAATGAGAGCTCGTAAGGATCGCATCTGAGAACTTCAGTACCGAGCAGGATCACCCAGAGAGTAAAAGGGATCTGGGGCAAAATACATAACTCTACGGCAAATTAAATTTTTATATTTAAAGTAAAGGAAGTAAACGCAAAAATATTGTATAGTGATCCTTACTTTCTTTTACCTCCCCTCTGGGCGTCCTTGTCTAGTACAAGTTCTTGGAAACGACGAGAACTTTTTGGAATAGAATCGTTCTCAATTCTTGCATTCAAATACTCCCATGTTTAGTTGTAATCGCTTTGAATTAAACTAGTAAAGTCAACTAGTTTAATTCAAGTTTTCTATTGAACCTTCAAATAAATAATAACCATTTTAAAAGACGAATTGAATCAATTTTTAATTATTAACGTCCTTTATTCTCTCATCATTCGTTAGACTGAAATAAATCAGAAAATTTTTAAAATACTTTTTTTAAATTATTTTTACACCTTAACTTCTTCGAATATGATCTGCTACTGCATCGCAAATAACAGAAAAAACAATTGATGATAGTTTTCCCTTGAGAAAGATGAGGATTATTTGCCACTATTTCATAAAAAATTTTGCTTTTTCTTTGCTTCAATATTTATTAGTTAAAAGTTGAACAAATCATTTCGTTGACTTCTTTTTTCTACGTTTTCAAATTCATCACGGAAAATTTTAATGAAATTCTCCATTTAACTTCAATAAGACTTTTTAAAATAATTCTCATTCAATTCAATTGATTCGAGCGTTGATTCTCTTTAAAACGGTATCCCTAATAGCTGGAATTTTTTACTGACAATAATTTTTGTTAGTAAAAAATTCATCAATTACGCGATCTCCTGCGCCCGCCATGTCCGACACTTCCTTAATCCCTCTCTGTATTCTTTACATTTTAGTATTGATATATTCACGAAAAACTCCTAAGAGATTGTAAATGGGAAATTCAATATTGACTTAATCGTTCTTCCTTAATTGTATTTCATAATTTATACTTAGAATCAGTAGGTTACGGAGGAAAAAGTTTGGAAATTCTCACGAATTGTTTTTAATTTATTTCAAACTGCGATAAATGAAAGTTTACTATTAATTATTTTCATACCAGAATATGTTATATATGATAGTTATGTGCATAAAGTCAGACTTGTTTTAGGCCTACATAGATGTGATAACGCGTTACTTATTTATAAAATGAACATGATAATAAATATTCAGGTAATACAATATAATATTGTACTATTGTGCAGGGAATTTCCTGCTGTTATGCTTGATGTAATTTTATGACATTTCTATTCTTTTTATTTCTAATTCGTGTCATTTACCTTTTGAAAGTCGTCATACAAGAAAATTGTCGCAACGAGCAAAATTCTCGTCAGCGATGCAGATTTAATGTATCAATGCTTCACGCTGACTAATTAATCAATCTTTTTTACATTTTTGAAAAAGAAATTATTTTCAATATTTATACATACAGTGGAAACCCGATTATTTGAACATGATGGGACCAGGGGTGTGACCGGCGGGTCGGCATCTCTTCGATCTCTGTCAGGACTGACACCAGTGTAACCCCCGTCAGGTCGACAGGGTTACATAGGTCACGCGAGAAGTCGCGTGTGCGGGCGATGAAGTGAGAGACAGCGCGCCGGAAGTGACTCACGCAGAGACTAGGTCAACGTAACAACCGTTTCATTGGAAAAGATAGGCAATACATGACATACAATTTGTCGATAGTGAGTATAATAGATGGGTTTAAATTAGCATTCCGCGGTTCTCTCCAGAGAGAGTTTACAGTGGTTCGCGAGTTGATAAATACCTGGAGTAGAGGATGTCCACGAGGGTTGAATTGGATGTCGTTAAAGTTGCGATCGTCTCTTGTTTTGATCGTCGAGAAAGTTTATCCAAGAAGTTGTCTTTATGGCACAATGTTTTGCAATATCCAAGGTGAGTAGGTGATATCCTGATAGGCACTGACACAGTTAATTGTTGGAGGAATTTCGGGATGATAGTACTCCTCGAAGAACGGGCAACGACTGCCTCAATTTTTCAGTTCCTTATTATCTTCAACCGATGAACATAAGACGGAAGGTTATGAGAAAGCGTCACTTTTGCTGCTGAGAACTCACCGAATGATTAGCTTCCAGTAGTTGACAGTTATCCGACAAAATGGTATTGTTAGGAAGTTATGATTTACGTAAGTAAACAGATTACGTAGTGCTGAGTCTCACAAGGGTCTTTCGGATAATCCAAAAACTCATTTGTTTTTGTTTTGGTATATCAAGCACTATGTATTTAAAGTTTCATGAGCTATAAATACTGTAATGCAATTACTGTATTTGAAGGTAGATTAATTTACTTAAAATATAACTTAATGTTACTTATATGACCTAGTTTCGTAGCGCTACCATCATGGAGAGTTTGGTCTCTGTATATTATGCTCTGTGGTATAATAATAAATAAAATAAATAATATATAAACATATAATAATATATTAATAAAACAAACAAAAACAACGTGTAACGTTCTATTTTTATTTATTTTCTTTTTTCAAACCGTTTCGGATAATCGAGTTTCTACTGTATAAAGTATATTTAAATGTTTGTAAAATCTATTTTAAAAATCACTGTATGAAAAATTAAAATTATATAACGCAGAAGTAAAATTTAATATTAAATAATAATATTTTTGGCAATTAAGTAAGAATAATTAATTATTCTCAGACGCACCGACTGTACCTGTCTGCATGAAGTGTGAGACGAAATGTTCCAATTGGTGGGATCTTGTACAGCATGCGGAAATTGAACATAATTTAGTCTTGTATAGAAAGCAAGAAGTAACTAACATCGTAAGCGTAATTGTAATGATTTATGCGCGTTTTAATTAATTAGATAAATCATGCTTTAAAGTTTTTTTCAGCCATCTACATCTGGAGACGGAGATCAAGAATTGTCAGATGCCATTCCAGAAGAATTTACGGTTAGTTGGGGTAGTCTCAGCGAAGACGGAGATGCAACCTGGTCGACCACAACCGAATTTACTAATGGCGATGCCAACTGCGAAAAAGTAATGAATATTTTTCTATCATTTTCAATAAAATAAATACGTAATTACCGAAAAAATCAGCAATAATTCACTTCCAAACGAACGTTTTCTACCGTTTTCAATGGTCATCGTCAGGTTCGATTCCAAGAATTCGAAAAAATTGAATCTTGAAGTTATGCGCATACCCGATGTAGAGCCTTTAACAAAAGGTTATGATGGATGCTTATTTTGATATGGCTACGCCGGCCAAATCTTATAGAAAGGCTGTTCTGAAGTTATGCAGGACTTCTTCCAAACTGGACTTTCTTGTTAACTCTTTTATAACGAACAACATGGAGGAATATCCGTATACTGTGTCCAATTCAGTACAGTTGATTCACATATTGAACGCACTTGGCAGCTTGGATGGCATCTACTTCACCGTTTGTGATTTTGAGTCCATGTTCCCTTCCATTCGCATCGAACCATGTTTTTGTGAATTGAGAGACATTCTCATTCGAAACATCAACGACTCTTCTAGACATATTTCCAACATCTTGGAGTTCGCACATCTTATTTGTCACTCGTCTTTTTTTTTTGTATTTGAGGGAGATACTTTCCTGCAATCTAGAGGGTTGGGTACCTATGGGTAGTCCCATATCAGGTGCATATGTGAATTGGTGGTTAGGCGCCTTGAACAACACGTCTTACCTAGCATAAGCGATAACATTAAGTTGTACTCTAGATACTTAGATGATGTGTTCATTGTTTGGAAGAAGAAACCGGATTTGGCAGCGTTCATCGAAGCTTTCAATGATAATGCTTATGGCCTCTCGTTGCGGGCTGAACAGCAAAGTTCCACCAGCGTGCATTTGCTCGATATTGACATTCAGTTACAACAGGGTCGATTAACAACTAAGATGTTCCGTAAGAACTCGTATGCTCCGCTTTTTATACATGCCAAATCACATGATCCTTTTGGTTACAAGGTCTGCTTTTAGGACCCTAATAAGAAGGGTTTCACTCATTGTTCGAGAGCAGAGGATAAGAAAATGGAGCTGGAATCTATTTCAAGTGCAGCTAGGTTAAGCGCATGGTTACCCTACGCGCCTAATTAATGAGCTAGTAGCACGCCACGAAAAACCTACGGATGCGGCACTTCCGGGAAACCGTCCTTTGTTCCTATTACTTACAACAGGATCATTCACACCTACAAGAGTAAAAGAGTAAAAGGATCGCTTACAGGAGATCACCGACCATTTTCTCTTGTTTAAGAAACGACAAGGACCGATTTGAGCGGAATTGTATCCCAGGAATATATTCTATCTCTATTTACGATCATAGGGTGAACAGTCCGGGCGAATATATTGGTGGTACCGCATGCTGCCTTAAAACAAGGATAAAGGAATACAAATACTCAATTCAAAAATGCCTTTCCACTACGGCATTGGCTTCTTTCGCCCTAGATGATGACCTAGAGAAAGTGAACTTTGATAATGCACGATTAATACAACGGTCTGAGCACCAGGCCAGCCTGAAATATCTCGAACAGCTAGAAATATTTAAAGCGTTCAAGAAGGGAACAGCCATCAATTTCAAGGAAACGGACTCGTTGGCGATTGCGTAGAGGGCGTATTTTGACATACAGTATAATAGATATACATCATGTATGCTTACATATTTATATAAACATCGGAATTTTTAAAACAGGAAACCAGTTACAGGACTAATTTTGTTAAAGGATCTACATCGGGCATGCACATAACTTCAAGATTCAATTTTTTCGAACTCTTGGAATCGAACCTGATGATGACCGTTGAAAACGGTAGAAAACGTTACTTTGGAAGTGAATTATTGCTGGTTTTTTCGGTAATTACGTATTTATTTTATTGAATTTTCACACCAGTAGTGCTGTTATGCTTTGATTAATCTTTTTATACGTGTTTTCAGAATAATATTAGTTGTAATTATTATCAGACAGAAGATAATCATTGTAAAGAATCTCAAGTGAGTATTGTTAATTTTATTTTAGATGTATTCATTTATTTTTTGGTTTTTCTCTTTTGATAGTTGTTTAATTACTTAAAGAATTAAGTATATTTAAATAAACGAATAGTTAATTAAATAACTTTCAAGATATACTAGAATGTATTTTTTAATATAAATAATACAGTACATTAAATTTTGTTATACAGGAAATTGTAATTTAGAAAACATTGAAGCTATTATTATTATTAATACAACTCTTCTATTAGATCTGGTTGTCTAAATGCTTAAATTTCAATATCAATTAAAATAACCCTTTTAATGTCCGTGATACCATGCAAAATTATGGCATTACTGACAACGTTTCAACATTATACTGTAGCCTATAATTTGCATAATCTTACGAGTTAGAGGCGTGATTGCGATCTACTGATCAGAAAATACTCAAATTAAAAATTATTAATGGGAAACAAACAATAAATGTTAAGATAATTCAATCAAATTTGTCTTGAATATAAAATAAAATTAATATAAAATTTTTAATTCAAACCTTTTTTTAAAACCGCGGGTTATGTGAAGCAAATATTATAGTCGATTCCTATAACAAAGAAAATAGCGAAGTTTTTTTCGTGTGTGAAACATGCAAAAATTAGTTGTTGCCTTCGTACTTGGCAGAGAAAGATAATTGGCAATAAACAGCCAATCATAAAAGTTATTTGGATTACTTCCAAAAGTGAATTAGAGGGAAAACAGAATTTGTTTTTGACACGTGCTTCAAGAACAGAAAGAATAAGAGAGCAGAAATCTTTCTCCCCTTCTCTTTTTTAAAGAGGTAGAGCTCTTTTCCAAATAGACTTATTGTAATGGTTCTTTTTAATTTAAAGAGAATTCTAATTAATTTATAACTGTTTATAATGACAGAACTACTTTAAATAGATGATTATTAAGAATTATATTAGGTCTATTAATATTGTCTCATGAAGTTTTTTAATAGAAACCTATTGTAATTTACAATAATGCATAAGGATACACATTAAAGTTAAAATTTATTTGAAAATTATTCAGATAGCTATGTAATGCCTATTCCTAAATTAAAAAGGGCGAAATCTTACAATAAGGCGTCAACTTACTGGAGGACTCGATGGAATCCGGGCTAGCAATTCCCCAGGAATTTTTCATGAGTCCCTTCCCTCACCAGCTGGCCGCTCCATTGCGGGAAAAAGGCACTCAGAGCATACAGACGGAAAAAGTTACAAAATATCGATAATATTTAGTCAAAATAATAATAAATAACAGCTACGAAAATAACTTCGTTATAATTCATTTAATTTATAGAAATGTAAAATATAGGCTATATGACTGACTGTAATTAAAAATAGACTTAAGGAGAAACTATAAAGGTCTTAGTTATTTTTGCGAGTGCCCAGTGCTGTACTTGAACTAAACTTCACTTCTGGGTCAAATCTGACCGTTCTGTGGATTACTAAAAAGAAAAACTTTATTTATAAACATTATTTTGGTAACACGATCTCCTTGGCATAATTATTAATTTATTAAGAATCTTTATTAAATCCATCGTTTACAAAGTTTTTCATTGTTATTGTTAAAATTTTTGTTAATAATTAATAATGAAAAACTTCTTAAACAATAAATGTAATAAAGATTCTTAGAATGTAAAAAAATAAACCAGTAACGAGTTGCTTAACTTTCCCGGTAACATTTAAAATTTTGGTGGCGCCATTTGTTATCATGTTTTATTAAAAAATTTTTTAAATAATTTTAACTATTATAAAATGACAGAAAGCTTAATTTTTAGGTATAGGGATGGGTTTTATAAAAAAAAAAAAATTGTAAATGCTAATAACGAAANCTTGAACTAAACTTCACTTCTGGGTCAAATCTGACCGTTCTGTGGATTACTAAAAAGAAAAACTTTATTTATAAACATTATTTTGGTAACACGATCTCCTTGGCATAATTATTAATTTATTAAGAATCTTTATTAAATCCATCGTTTACAAAGTTTTTCATTGTTATTGTTAAAATTTTTGTTAATAATTAATAATGAAAAACTTCTTAAACAATAAATGTAATAAAGATTCTTAGAATGTAAAAAAATAAACCAGTAACGAGTTGCTTAACTTTCCCGGTAACATTTAAAATTTTGGTGGCGCCTTTGTTCCTATTACTTACAACAGGATCATTCATAGCACCTACAAACAAATTGCTCATTATGCAAGTAAAACTATCGCTTACAGAAGATCACCGACCATTTTCTTGTGTTTACAAAATGATAAGGACCGTTTTGATAGGAATTGCATTCCAGGAATATATTCTAACCCTATTTACAATCACAGGGTGAATCATCCAGGTGAATATATTGGTGCTACCATACGCTGCCTTAAGGCAAGGATCAAGGAACACAAATACTCAATTCAAAAACGCCTTTCCGCTACACCATTGGCTTCTTTCATGCTTGACGATGTCGTCAGAGTGAACCTTGATAATGCATGTTTAATACAACGATGTGAACACCAGGCCAGTCTGAAATATCTAGAACAGCTTGAAATTTTTAAAGCATTCAGAAAGGGAACAGCCATCAATTTCAAGGAAACTGACTCATTGGCGTGGAGGGCATGTTATGACATATAATGGAGGCGCATCATATATGTCTATATTTTTTATATAAACATCGGAATTTTAAAACAGGAAACGGATACATAATAGTATGCTTCTAAGTCTATTACTTTGTAGTTATCGCAATACTATAGCCTAGAATTGCAACAAAGCATTGCAATTCTAGGAATTTTTATTTCTACATTTCCAAGCTGTATGGCTAGATTAAAAGATTCAGTTATAATTTCAGAAAAAAACACTTTTCATGTTTGACAGAATTTCTTTTAGTACAGTTAAAAGGTCAAAAAAATGCTGCAGGTTTGCATTAAATCACTTTGGCTTCTCTGCAAATACTTGCTAAGAATAAGTCCTACAATCTTTTAATAATTAATTAATTTAATAGGCACAGTATAATCTCGCCTCTAGAGACAGCTGAATGAAGAATGAATGCTTCCATACTGACATCTTTGTAGGTCCATCCTGTAACCTTCTCTAAGTCCTTTTTTACAGTAAAAGTCTTGTAAGCTCTTAGAAAACATTAACAGTATTCAGTCTCTCAATTCAGAGTCAGCCAGGCACATTTAAAAGTTCTATTTGAGAAAATGTTGAGAACATTTCTACACTTCAGACATAGAAAGAAAATTCTTATATGGAATCAAATATATCAATACAATTCTGAATCTGTTGCAAGTCAAAGAAATTGTTGCCAGGCAACTGGCAGGAAAACACTCCATTCTAGATGTTCTTTTAGAAATTGTCACATGGGAATATCTGATGTTCTGTTAATAAGTCACACATTCCACACTATTTCCAGCAAAACAGTTTAATAAAAATTCAACAAAATGAACATTTTTGGCTACATTGTGACCTGATTCAGATTTTAACAAGTCTGCAATTGAACATCTAAACAGAATACCAATCTGGAACATTACTAATGTACTGCACTTATGACACTATTCTTGTCAAAGTATATTTTCTATGTACTCTATCTTAACCCATACAAAGACCCAGGACTGCTATGCATATGAATAATCTTGCACTGATAGAGGCCTTTTTGTTTATTGTATACATGATTATTAAAATGCACTTAATGCTATCAATTTGAATCAATTCACTAAATGGAGATAAAGAATCAATAATCCATAATTATCAAGAATATAATTCCTAATAAGCATTTAATTTCTAGTTTTCTTTATTATTTTATATAAGATTTCTTTTTAATAATCATACATAAAATATTAGTTTGTTAGCAGTTTTTAATGGTTAATTGTACATTGAGATTATTGTTAACATTAACAATTAAATTTTTTAATATTTTTTGTCTTAAAATTCATCATTCAACAGCTCTAATATACAAGATTATAATCATTATTTAAATATAATTATATACAAAATGTCTTGTTCAAAGGTAGCATTTTAACTTTAGGTATATAAATCAAAGGACCACAAATCTTTTATCGTTAGCAACTAGATTACATAGTCATTTAACATATGTAATTTTTTTCTGTGTAATAGGTATTTTAAAGTTTTTCAAAACTTTAAAATACCTATTAATAATAAATACAGTAGAGCATTGATTATCCAAAACAATTCAGGACTGGGGTTGTTCGGATAATCGATTTTTTGGATAACCGATTATGTACGAAAAAATATATTAACCTATCCCATGTTGAAATTCATTCAAATCCTGGTGCATCCTTAAGTACCCTCTCATGGTCACGCCAGTGCAGTTGATCAATATTCAGATAATTGATGCTCTACTGTATATTAATTATAATTAAATTCTCAATATGTAGAGAGTTTGTGGATAAAATTATTCTAATATAAAAATTAATCTTGAAATGTCAATGATTTTTAAATAGAAGTATTTGAAAACTTGTTATAAGGTTTATTTTAAATTTAACATATGTATTAAGTTTTTTGATAGAGTTGTTGTTATTGTTGTGTTTAGTGGGTTATACTTGGTTCACACCGGTGGCTGTGTACTATGCTGGACCAGAGTCAAGGCATAGCAACCAAAATAAAACTAAAATTAAATAAGTTTGTCAGTGTCTGTATTCAGGAATTTCCTAACAATATGGCATGTATTCAATATAGTGGCCTTCTGTAGTGTGATGTATGTATTTCTATTCAATTGTAATGTTCCCAGGCTTTTGTTTAGTGTGTGTGGTATCACACCTGTACAGGAGAGAACGACAGGTACAATAAGCACCCTATCCATCCTTCACAGATGCCTTATTTCCTGGGCGAGTTCTGTGTACTTGCTAATTTTTTC